ATCTTTAAATATTTTACTCCACTCTCTTCTTGCTTATGCAGTTTCTGAAAAGAAGTCCAATGTAATTCTTATCCTTGTTACTATAAAGGTACGGTGTTTTTTTTTCCTTTGGCATCTTTCAAGATTTTCTCTTTATTTTTGGTTTTTGCAGTTTGGTTATGATATGCCTAGGTATAGACTCTTTTTTTTTTTTTTGTATTTATTCTGCTTGGTTTTCTCTGAATTTCTTGGATCTGTACTTTGGTGTCTGTCATTAATTTGGGAAACTTCTCAGCCATTATTTTTTCAAATATTTCTTCTTTTCTTTCTTCTCCTTCTGGTATTCCTATTATGCCTAGTTACATCTTTTGTAATGGTTCCACAGTTCTTGGACATTCTGTTATGATTTTTTTTCCTTTTTTTCTCTTTCCATTTCAGTTAGGGGAGTTTCTATTCATATATCTTCAAACTCACTGACTCTTTCCTTCAGCTGTGTCTAGTCTACTGATAAGCCCATCAAATGAATTCTTCATTTTTGTTAATGTTTTTTATTTTTAGCATTTCCTTTTGATTCTTTCTTAGATTTTCCATCTGTCTGCTTACATTACCCACTGTTCTTGCATGTTGACTACTTTTTCCATTAGAGCCCTTAACATACTAATCATAGTGTTTTTAAAAATTCCCTATCTCATGATGCCAAAATCTGTGTCATATCTGAGTCGTTTGTATGCTGGCTTTATCTCTTCAAACTGTATTTCTTCTTGCCTCTTAGCATTCTTTGTAATTTTTTATTGGTAGGTGGACATTATGTATTGGGTGACAGGAATTGAAGTAACTAGGGTTTGTAGTGTGAGGTTTTATGTTAAGCTGGTTAGGAGCTGGGCTATGTTTAATGTTTGCTGTAGTTCTCAGTGCCAGAGGCTTCAGTTTCCTGCCCCAACCCCTGTTGTCTGTGGGTTTGCCTGAGAACTCCTTCTTTATAGAGTCTGTGTTTTGCAGCCCTCTCAGTTGTAATCCGCTGTTATTATGTTGGAACCCTGTTGGTATGGTGGCAAATTGTTGGGGAAGGAAAGTGTTCTGTAATCCTGTGATTAAATCTCAGTATTTTCATGGGTTTGAGTCCCCGGGCTGTGACTTTCAGAAGTGTTTCATAGTCTTTTATTCTTCTCTTTATATGAGACAAGAAATCTAGACAGAGCTGGAGTTGTCTGATTGCCATTCCCTCAGATCAGATAATGCTGTGGTAAGGTAGTTTCCCTTAAAGGTCAGGCCTTTGATATTGTCAACTTAAAACCTTGAGACCTACACATTTAGAAAGGAGAGCTTTATTTCTTATAAAGAATTGCAGAAAGCTTTATTATAAAGGGTTGCAGCCTGCAGAGACCAAAAGTAGGCACTTCAAAAGAGGAAGAATGAGACAGGAATTTCTGCTGAATGGGATAGCTAAGTATACATATCCAACAGGTTATAGAAGAGCTATGAATATTCACAAAGGGGGGCACATGCATGTGTAGTAGGCAAACATGCATGTTCCCTACATCCCATGTTCACTTTGGGGTGCAGATTTAACATTTAAAGGCAGTAAAGTTAGGCTATGTACATCAAAAGGTGAAATGAAGGACACGGAGGCACCCTACATGCGGCCTCTGTGCACCAGCCAGAGCCAGTGCGTGGTTGGTGGTCACTTATCAGGAAGGAATACTGGTCAGTTGTTGTGTTGAAACTGCAAAGAGGGAGGGGAGTCCGGCTGCAGTGTCAGGTGGTTGGTTAAAATCAGCAGTGGAGCAAGTCTTTCGAAAGGGCTGGTTTCTGTTTAACTCTTAGGAAAGAAAATCTAATGACAGTTATTGAGGGGGCGATATAATAAGGTATGTCCAACCTCTGATCCCATCATGGCTGAGAGAATTCAGTTTGTTTCTTTGTTTTTTTTTCTACAGAAAAGATTTTGCTCTGTTGCCCAAACTGGAGTCCGGTGGTACAATCATAGCTCACTGCAGCCTCAAACTTTTGGGCTTAAGCGATCCTCCTACCTCAGCCTCTAGGCATGTACTACCATGCCCTGCTAATTTTTTAAATTTTTTATAGAGATGGGGTCTCACTACATTGCCCAGGTTAGTCTCAAACTTCTGGCCTCAAGCCATCCTCCTGCCTTTGCCTCCCAAAGTGCTGGGATTGTGACCCATTGTGCTTAGCCAGAACTCAGTTCTTAAGGTTTCTCTGTGCCCCCTTGGCCTAGAAGGGGTTCTGTTCTGTCGGTTGAGGGGCTTAGGATTTTTTTTTATTTCACAGTGTGGAGAATCCTATGGGCATATTTTAAAATAATTACATTTTCCCCGTCCATACCCGAAACATGAAGGGGTATTTCTCTTATCTCCACCACAAGAACCTGGTGGGGTTCCTGGATTTAAAACCACAAAAATGTGAGGACCCTTAAGACTGGGCTCCCTGGAGTTTTTAACTCCCTCCTAGTCCACACTCAGCCTCCAGTAATTTGTCAATATTAGCATTAAAGTATTAATATTTCTACCAGTTACCGGCTTCAGTGGCTTCTGCTGTCTTTAAGCTGATTGCAGCTGTGATCTTCTGTATTTGCCTGTCTCTCCAAATTTCAGGTTGTCAGTTTGCCCATCACTTCAATTTTATGATCAATCTAAGAAGTGTCGATTTTTTATTTCACCAGCTTTTTTCTTGTTGAGAACAGGAGGGGACTACTTCAAAGCTGTGTCAGAATTGAAACCGGAAGTCCCACTGTATTTTCACAGTAGAAATAAACATAGTTTATACCATTTGCAGACTTGTCCATTTCTTTAGAATAAATCATTAGAAGTTGAATTTATGGTCAGAGATTGTGGACATTTTTAAGGCTTTTGATTCATGTTGCCACATTGCTCTCAAAAATGTGCAATTTTCCTCTGCTAGCAG